TTTCCTCGTGCGCTGCGCCACATATATGCTACTGCGAAGTTTTATTCATCTCTTATTATCATTGAGTACATGTAGCATAATTTTGCATATTTATTTACATCTTTTATAATCACACGGCCCAACTTCAACTTGGTTCTGTTTTCCAAAATCCCATTTTCTGATTCTAAGAAGCTCCATGAACCAAATCAAGAATTTGTTCATCGTATCATCTGATGAAGAAAATTTTGATTTGGGGGAATTATATTGTGTCACGCACTTGAACAAAGCTCCTGAGCTGCAGAATAGATTTCATGCGATTTTCCATTTTTTTTTATGTTCTCTTGAACCCTTGGGCCATGTTTGGCTGTTCCCATCTGTAAAACGGTATGCTCGTGAGCTCCACCGGCAGATACTGTGACTTTTCCCAAGACAAACGCCGAGATTTAGCAGTACGCTTGCGTAGTCGTGTTTGATGACGATCGGGTTTAGCTGCTTTTTTTAATATAAGCTGTTTGAAATTATATTGATTTTTCTGGTGTTGAATTGCAGGTTGTTTCTTCATACGGATGAAATTTGGCTGGAAGACGAAGCGGGTTTGTAAAATCAGAGTAAGATTTACCGTAATGATACAGTTATTCAAGAAAAAAAAATAGGGAAATAATTATCTGGTGAAAGGGGAAATAAAGAAGCAGAACTCCTAAAGATTTCTCTTTGTTTAATAATTAATTAATTGAAAAAAAATGATACTTTTCCTTGAGATGGGTATGAGAAGAAAAATTCTATGGAGCCATCGGATGGTTTTCTTATGGAGCCATCGATCAGTTAATGTGTTGACACCTATCCAAAGTGTATTTATTTTGGGACACATGTCAATACACTATTTGTGAATAACTATGGATGACTCCATAAGCCGAGCCATCCGATGGCTCCGTAGCAAAACTGGGTATGAGAATGGTGAAATGTCGAATTTTGACTACATGGTTATTTTCACATTTATTACTCCATGATTTATTCTGGCTGCCTGGGCCAATTTTTATTTCTGACCATAAAAATGGTGGAAAGAACTGAAGGCTAGGCCATGGGGAGGTCCCACGATGTATATGGCTTCTAGTTTGGTTGTCAAAACAGCATTTGCTTGCCCTGTTTTGCTATGTGTTTTTCAATTTAGTTAGGTGCAGTCCATCCATACATTTTAAGTGCCTACAGGCTAAAAGGGCTCACCATCACCACTCACTACAAATTCCAAATTCTCTTTTTCTAGATTTTTTTCCTTTCATAATTCACAAAGATTTTTTGAGTTTTCTAGTTTGAACAAGCCCTTATTCAGCTAATTTGCCGACACCTCTATTCTAACAGATTTGACTTTTAATACTACTTTTGGATTCTTTTACAATGAGTCATTTCTTATAAATGCAGAACTTTAGCTACCACTCCCTAATCGACTGCTCTAACCTTCACCTTTGGTGAAAATTTTTGTTGTTTTCATTCAACTCTTTGATTTGGCAGTTGAGTTTTTCTTTAACCAACTACAAGACAAGGCCTCTAGATTCCTGCTGTTTTTCTTGTTGGAGTATCCCCTCAAAATCATATTCTTTATTCCTTAACACAGAGTAGTCTCTATTCTATGATAATACTGTACCTGAACATCCTCAGAAGCTTCTTAATCATACTCACCATTGAGCTCATTCAGTAACATGGGGACTTATTATTCCTTCACTCTTTCTTCTTCCAGACCATTTCTACTTTCTCCGAAGCAACCATTTAGCAAGTTCATCTGCAGATCCTCTGCCACTTGCAATTTGTCAACGTCTTTTGATCAATCATCAAATAACTATGGACTTACACTGTCTCCAGCTTCAACTTCGTATTATAGCAGAAAAAATGTGCAAAATTTGGCCGGAAAGAGATTATTGGACTTCAAAGTCAGGTCTGCAGCATATCCGGAAAGTAAAAATGAGGCGACTATTACCGGTGAAAAGATCAGGGCTTTGCAGCTTGGAACCATGTTTGCTATTTGGTATCTATTGAACATATATTTCAACATCTTCAATAAACAGGTGTTTTTTCCTTCCTAAATTTAAATTTCTAGTAAATGCAAAAAATTGGGGTTTTGAGTTTTTTACTTTTTGTCAATGTAGTTTCTGGTATAATACAGACTAAAATTTTAATATACTCATGCGTATGGTTTCTTTCATGTTTCTTACTGTAAAGATATGACAATATTTTAAGTCTTCAACGTTCATTACAGGTTCTTAAGATTTATCCATTTCCTACTACCTTGACAGCATTTCAGTTTGGTTGTGGGACAGTTTTGATACTTCTTATGTGGGCACTGAATTTGCATCCAAAACCCAAAGTTAGTAGGTCTCAGGTAATTGCCTATCAATGGAAATGTGACTTCTTTTTCTTTTTCTTTTTTTTTTCCCCTCTTTCCCATGATTCAAGAGAGCTGACTCTTAAAATTGTTGCAGTTTAGGGCAATCTTTCTACTCGCACTCGGACACACAGTAGGAAACCTTCTAACAAATATCAGTCTGGGAAAAGTTGCTGTTTCTTTCACACACACGATTAAGGCAATGGAGCCTTTCTTCACCGTCTTGCTTTCTTCTCTGTTTTTCGGAGAGGTAATCATGCACTGTTGTTTTGAAATCTTTGCTCTATTAAATTATATTTGATAGACGGGATAAATTATGAGAACTGTCCTGGGCAGTTAGCTAATTACAAAAAAAAACATTGCACATTTTCTTTGGAAACTATGAATATCCCTTGATATTTGTTTCCTTCGTGTGCACTTTCTAAAGGGGGAATATATCAAGCACGCAAATACCTTTAATGGAGTGTGTTAAATACTCTCAAGGAATATGAATAAGACGCATGATTTGTCTAATGTATGAACCTCTAAAAAGAATATGGGTAAAATTTTAGGTTTGTCTAACTAGGAAATGTGAACAAACAACAAAATAATAAAAGAAAAATAGTCCATCTTTTAAACTGCAAATACCCTTGTTATTTATTCGTATATGTGAATTGAACTCTAAAAGAGACGATTTTTGTTACGCAAACACAAACTAAAGGATATGTAAGTACCTTGGTGTTTGTAATGTTAAGATGCATTTCATCACAGGAAAGTTTCTAACGACAACGATAACTAGAAGAACCATTTCATCATCTCAACTGTGGAGCTACCCTAGGAAGTAGTAGAAAATAGAAATGTTGATTGAAGGCAAATTTGGCACTTGTTTCGATGATTGATCATTATTTGAGGACTCATTTCTACTCATAATTTTTCATTTTCCGTGTCTGACAATGTAGAGGCCATCTTTCTGGGTTCTTTCTTCTCTTGTGCCTGTTGTTGGAGGCGTTGCATTGGCATCTTTCAGTGAAGCCTCTTTCAACTGGTATTGTGGAAAAAAAAATGGAAGTTAGTTAAAATTTGAATAAATGTCATGAGATTTTTCTTCAGCAAATATGATTGATGGTAATTTTCTTTTAACAGGATAGGTTTTGGTAGCGCAATGGCTTCAAATCTTACCAACCAAACACGAAATGTTTTCAGTAAAAAGCTGATGGTTAAAAACGAGGTACATGATCAAATTATATTATACATAATTAATATCCAACTCGGCATACATTCCACATCAATTTGAATTACAAAAAACTCGTGATCTTTAAAAGTCACATATACCCCCTTGATACTTATTTTAGCTCCAGCATTGCACTCTGTAGTTGTATTTTGAAGATGTGAGTAATATCTAAAGGGAGTATATTTATAATTCTGGAGTATGATTGGGACTTTCTTGAAACTAGCCAAACCTTCGGGGTGCTTATTTAGATTATAATTTTTACACTATATTCATGTCTAAACTACGTATTTTTGTTGATCTCTAATCCACAGGAAAATATGGACAACATCAATCTATTCTCCATTATAACAATCATATCGTTTTTACTTTTAACACCTGCCGCAATTTTGCTGGAAGGTGTCAAGTTTAGTCCTTCATACTGGCAGTATGCTGTAAGTAGTAAATGGAGACGCTTAATTTTAAACCTTCAACACTCTTTAGGGAATATAATGTGAAAGATTGTATTCATCTATGTTGTGATGCAGACAAGCCAAGGTTTGAATGTCAAAGATATGTGTATTAGAGCTCTTTTGTCCGGTGTCTGCTTCCATTCCTACCAACAGGTGATGTCCCATTGAAAAATCTACCCCTATCATTAGTGTGTGTAGTCAACTCTCATAAAAGAGTTTTTAAAAAAATAAAAAAGAAAAAGAGAAAAAAATACCCTTGAGATGCAAACTTCCTCCTTTCATAAGCAAAAACTACTCAAAAAAAACAAAATTGAAAAATATGTCCATCTATTTGGAGCACATGACAAATTTACCCTGTACCTTTGATATTGCTGAACTGACTGATTAAATCAAGGACATTTGGCCCAATCCTATGAGTTACTGAGCTATTTTCTCAATTAGTTAGTGTGTAATTTTTGCATTTTCCGGCATATTGTGCTCGATTTTTGTTAGTTATTAGTGATCACTTATTACAACTACAAAAGGTGGACAAATTTGTCATGCAGCTCAATAGCCTCGCATTTGGTGATTAGTGATTACGGCCTCAAACTCCATTAACATACTTTATGTGCTTCTCGATTGGCAGGTTTCTTATATGATATTACAAATGGTATCGCCGGTGACACATGCTGTTGGTAACAGTGTGAAGAGAGTGGTTGTCATTGTGTCCTCGGTTATTTTCTTCCAAACGCCTGTCTCACCCATTAATTCCTTGGGTAAATTTTCTCCGTTTTAATCGTCTACTCTGATTAGTAGATTTTTTTCTTTTTTTCGTTTATTTTTCCTTTCTGTTACGTGCATTTAACGGCATATCTATGTCAGGAACTGCTTTGGCTCTTGCTGGAGTTTTCTTGTACTCGAGAGCAAAGAGGATTAAACCTAAAGCTGGTTGAGGGTATTAGGCTCCCTGGGAGGATGAACAACTTTGAGGATTGTCAAAATCATCTAGTGATTAGGGATATGTTTCAACCAAGGCGCTTCAAAATAATAGATGGGTTTAGTCACAGTGCCAAGTCCCTAGTGGCTTTCTAATACAGTTCCCTCTTTACTTGAGAATTTTCATGTTTGCTAGTGATGGACAAGATAAGGCATTTGGTTATATAATATTTCAGCCTTCATGATCGCTTATAAATGATAATGGAGCTTTTAAATTTCTTTCAAGTTAGTTTTCATGGAGCTCGAAAACGAAGCCTTTTAAAGTAACTTGTAGTTGACAAAAGGTAAACAAAAAAAATACACGAGACAAAGTTAATATTTACTTATAGAGTGAATTGTAATTTTGATCTTCTATGTTTCACTACCTTATTTTTCGTCATATTCGAATTGCGATTTTTATTTTCGTCATGTACGTTTACAAAAAAATTATAAAAAAGTTTTTTTTCGCAATAAAAAATGTCCTTTATATTTTGCAAAAACAAAAATTCAATTTCGTCCCTTATGTATGAGAATGACCTTTTTGTAACATTTTTACAAACATACGTGACAAAAATCAAAATCGCAATTCGAAGAGGACAAAAAAAAAGTTAAGACAGTAAAACATATAAAACTAAAATTACAATCTACTAATATCAGTGGTAGATTTTGATGAAGTTATCCTCCATGCTACTTGAAAGTATGCATGCACTCAGAATAACGCTGTAAGCCTCTCCAAAATTTGTCACAACATAGATTTCGATAAAACATGTGTAGAGAGAGATTCTGGCCGAGTCCCAAATATAAATATATACAAGAAAAGAACCATCCATCCCAAGACAATATTCAACTGCAGTAGCATAGAATATCTATCTGACCCTTGAAGCTTTTATGTCTACTACGGCAAATAAACATACAAAGCCAACAAAACATGTTCACTGGACAACACTGTCCCAAAATAGACCACCAAGAACCTTTCTCAAAAGCCACAATACTAAAGCAAACAAAGCAACCATGTCAAAAGATAGCGTTAGGGGATAGATATCAAATAACTATACGGGACCCTCAACTCCATGCATTATTGCTCTCTTCA